GGGAAAGGGGGAGCCTCAGTGGCAGCTCCCCAGCCTGGAAGCGTTGTGAAATGCTGCAGTAACTGCAGGTGTAGCACAAGCAGATCTGGTAGCATTTAGGCTTGAGCTTGGTGCTGCTCTGTGTTAGTACTGGTGGTCGGTGTGGATGTGTGTAGCTGTTGGTGTGATGCTCTCAGGCAGCCTGCCTGTTGCCTGCTGCTTCCCACAACCCCTGTCCCACACCCTGGAAGGAAAAGAGTCTCCTACAGGACAAGGGGGAATGGCTTTAACCTGCCAGAGGGGAGATTGAGATGAGCTCTGAGGCAGAAGCTCTTCGCTGTGAGGGTGCTGAGGCGCTGGCACAGGGTGCCCAGAGAAGCTGTGGCTGCCCCATCCCTGGTAGTGTTCAAGGCCAGGTTGGACACAGGGGCTTGGAGCAACCTGCTCTAGTGGAAGGTGTCCCTGCCCTTGGCAGGGGTTGGAGCTGGATGAGCTTTAAGGTCCCTTTCAACACAAACCACTCTGTTATTCTATGATACAGTGATTTCAGGAGGAGCTGGAGCTTCCTTCCTGCCCAGCCTGCTGGGGTGCTGGTACCTTCATGGTTGCTGGGGCTGGGCTGGGATATGACAATGATTCTTCACCCTTTCCTCAGTGGTGGGGACAAGCCCCCTCCAAACCTCTGCAGGGTCCTGCCTGATGCTGGCTGTGACCCTCGGATCAATATCCCTTCCACTGGGAAGGAGGAACCCCTCAGCCTTAGTGCCTCCTGGCCCTGCTGCAGCCACTGGAGCTGGGAACGAGCCCCTGCTCATACCCACTGGAACTTGCTGATGTGAAAAGACCCTGCGAAACCAATTAGCAGGAAAGCATCAGTGTTTGTCGGGGCCAGGAGTTCAGCGGTGGAGGGGGAAAGGGGATGCTCGAGCAGCCCCCAGTCTCCTCCTCAGCCCCCTCCTTGTTTAGCCGTGACCTCCCTGTGCCGGGCAGCAATGTCATGATTTCATTCTGGGGCTCATTTCTCCCCGGACGCGTGGCCCTTGTCAGCTGTGCTGTGGAGGAGGAGGAGCAGAACATGCGGAGCAGCTTTTAACACACATCTAGAAACACCAAACAAACAATCTCTTCTTGCAGCTACCCCACCAGAGCTGGGTTTGAGGCGAAGACCCAGCCTGATGCTGGCGGCGGCTGCTGTAATGGGCTCTGATCCTGGCCTTGGGCAGTGCTGAGCTGGGTTTAGGCAAGCAGTGGTTCCCCGCAGCCCCAGAAGGGGTTTTGCCCTGTAAGTTGTGAGTTGTGGCTACTTCCACCGCCCCATGTGGTGTTCCTGGCTCTGATGCTGCCCCAGAACACATCCCACAGGCCGCCTGGGTGCAAGGGGAATGGTTCCCCCTGTTCCAGCATGCTGGAGGCGATCAGAGTGGTGTGAATCCAGAGGACAGTGGTTAACCCCAGAGGTGATGGCTGCAGTGGGGCTGTGCAGAAACACTCCCTGTCTCTGTCCTATTGTGTCACCTGTGAGGTGGCTCCATCTGAAGTTGGGTGTCTAAATCCCAACCCTCTGCTTGGACATATCTGGCATCTCCTGGCTTGTTTCTTGGGGGATTTACGGATGTTGCTGTCAATTCAGAAGGTCTTTCTTGCTCTGTGGGCTCTTTAGAGATGCACTGGGATTTATCATCACACATCTGCTCCTTGGTGCTCGTAGGGGAGTAACACACATCCCATGGCTGCCCAAATGAAGGGTCCCCATGGCTCTGCTCCCTTGGCTGACAGGCCATGCTCTCTCCTAGCTATTCCCTGAAACTGGCCCCAGGCAAGGAGGGACCCGTCTGACCATCACTGGCGAGAACCTGGGCCTCAAGTTTGAAGATGTTCGCTGGGGCGTTCGGGTTGGCAAAGTGATGTGTATCCCCATTGAGAGCGAGTACATCAGCGCTGAGCAGTGAGTGTCTGCGAGGGGGATCACCTCGGTGGGCTGGGACAGGGGTGCTGGTGTTCACATGGCTGCTGAAGACATGGGGCTGAACTGGGTGAGAAACACCTGCTGGTTGTGGTTGCTCTGGAGGAACCCAGAGGCTTGGGAGAAGCTGCCAACAGCCACTGCCCTGGTTTCTCACGAAGCAGCTGGCACCTTTGTTGGTGTTAGATCCATCTCTTCCTGAAGCCAGTCCACCCCACCATAGCACAGGGAGTGTCTAGGTGCCAGGACACTGAGTGCCCCTTCCCTGCATCCCTTAGGATCGTGTGTGAGATCGGAGATGCCAGCCCAAGCAAGGTCCATGAGGCACGGGTTGAAGTGTGCATCCGCGACTGCTCGCCCAGCTACCGGGCCACGTCCCCCAAGAGCTTCACCTTTGTGGTAAGCCCCATGCAGGGGACAGGTCTGGCACCACGGGAGGGAGGTAATGCTGGGTGGACCAGTTGGAAAATCAGCCATCATTTAGCCACCGTTTCCGTGGGGTGCAGGTGGGGATGCTCTGGGCAGATGGGTCATGCTGGTTCAATTACTCCAAGGCTCCATTGCTCTGCTTCCCCGTGGTCCTGCTCTGCCATCCTTAGCACCATGCCCTGCTGCTGTCCCATGGGTCTTCTTTAGCCCTGTCACCTCTTGTGGCTATCTGGGGATGCAGATTCTGGTCCCCAGCCCGTCTGACCCCAGGGATGCTCTTTTCCTTTGGCAGACACCCACTTTCTCCCGCGTGATCCCAGCCCGGGGTCCTCTCTCTGGCGGCACCTGGATTGCGATCGAAGGCAGCCACCTCAACGCCGGCAGCAACGTCTCTGTCACCATCGGGGGACGGCCCTGTGCTTTTTCATGGTGAGGGGCACAGAGGGTGGTGAGGGTGGGCAAAGGGCACCTCCAGAGGCAGCGGAACCCTTGGATGGGGACCCAGGGGGGACCTAAACCCTGTGGATGGCTAGAGGCATCTCCCCCCAAAACCTCTGTGTCAGAGGCTGCAGGAAGAGCCCCAAGAACAGGAATTTTTCTGTAAAAGCACAAAGCCCTGAGGCATGAAGTGGATAATTTTTAGATTAGGGATGATAATGGAGCGGCTCTTTAAATATTTTCCTGCAGTAATTACTGGTTATCAGCCCTAATCGCTGCTGTTTGCAGCAGCCGTGCGATGGGAATGCTCAGGAGCTGCTTAGCCTTTCCCTTTCCCTTTTGCTTTTTGTTTCAGTTCTTGTGGGGTTTTTTTTTGTCTTTCTTTTTCCCCTTTTTTCTCCCTTTGCCCCTTGGCAGTTTGAGGAAGGGCGAGGAGCTGGGGCAGCATTGCCCCCTGCTCGCCTCCCTCCTGCCCGGGCACTGATGGGTTGTGTGTTCCTGCCCCAGGAGGAGCGCCCGTGAGATCCGGTGCAGGACCCCCCCTGGCCACAGCCCCGGCGGCTCTCCCATCCTCATCAACATCAACCGGGCAGAGCTGAGCAACCCCGAGGTGAAGTACAACTACACCGAGGACCCCACTATCCAGAAGATCGATCCTGAGTGGAGCATCAACAGGTAAATTGCAGCTTGTGGGGTGCATGGGGGGCTGTTCTCCACATGGATCCCCCCGACTCCTGATGGATACATCTCAGTGCTGCTGCGATAGCCGCTGGGCTGTGCTCCAGCGACGTGGTGAGAGGAGTGTGAGCAATGGCTTGGCACCGGGGCCCTGCTGACTCCTGGCCTGCAGTGCTTAGCCTGGCAGGGGACAAGAGCAGAGAGTGCTTTGGATCTGCTTAATTTCAGCTTGACATTTGGCGGTGGCAAATAAAATTAAACTGTTTCCCATCAGGGATTTTTTGCAATGTTTACATATTTTTCTAAAAGGTTTGAATTGGCTGGAGAGGAGCCGAAGGAATCCATTAAGAGCCAGTGCCAAGGGGAAACCGTCCCCAGGCTGTTCATGAGGAGCGGGCTCCCCAGGGGCATGGCCCAGCTCTCTGGGACAATGGGGCTCTTAACACCAACACCAAGCCATGGAGAAAGCTGCTCAGGGCTCAGTGTGTCCTGCCACCCGCTGCCTACATGGTGAAAGAGGTGGCAGGGAGGACCTCCTCCTCCTTGGGATGCTTTCCCATCGTGGAAACTTGGTCTCGTTTAGCTTGGGAGCTGCCTTCAGGCACCAAACCCAGACACAGGTTGGGATGCTGGTGTTCATTAGCAGGTTTTATGTCTCTATGTGGTCAGCTGAGATGGCTTGGCAGTGGAGCACGCAGATCCTGCCAGATGTGGTGGCATATGGATAGGATAAGAGGTCCCCAGGGCATTGTGGTTCACCCCAGGCTGGGGCAGATGGGTGTCTGGCTGGTGAGGATGGGTGATTGCCTCCCAGAAGTGAGGACCCAGTGCTAAGCTACCCTTCCTAAGCCATTGTCTCCATGTCTCTAGTGGTGGGACGCTGCTGACTGTGACCGGCACCAACTTGGCCACCATCAAAGAGCCCAGGATCCGGGCCAAGTACTGCAGCTCTGAAAGGGAGAACGTAAGTGGTGCTGGCTGGGGCTGGGGACAGAGCATAAGAAGGAGGAGGGATTTCCTGAGACTTTTCCCTGCAGAGCCCCTGGCCATGAGAGAATTGAGATTTGAGTGTGCAAAGTTGATGGGATGTTTGTGGCATGTCTGCAGGACAGTGACAGAGAGAGCACATCCACCCCTTGCAGGTCCATTGCAGACAGCAGTCTCTCTCTGCCACAGGACGGGATGTGGTACCTGTTGATGTAACAGCACAGGACAGGAGATCCTAAGTCTAAACCCCATGTCCAGAGCTGCTGCTTGCAGGAGGCCCTTATGGGATCTGATCCTGTTGGGAGCTGAGTCTGACCCCAGTTGTGCCTTCTGCAGAACTGCACCGTCTACAACGACACGACCATGGTGTGCTACGCGCCTTCCATCGACAACCCTGTGCGGAGCCCTCCGGAGGTGGGAGACCGCCCGGATGAGATTGGCTTCATCATGGATAACGTCCAGGCCCTGCTCATCATCAACACCACCAACTTCGTCTACTACCCAGACCCTGTCTTTGAACCACTCAGCCCCACAGGGATGCTGGAGCTGAAGCCCAGCTCTCCCCTCATCCTCAAGGTAAGGCAGAGGGGGAGGGATGTGTCCCTCAGTGCAGGTGGCTTTTGTCTCTGCTGGTGCAAAGTCCTGCACTGATTTGCTTTACATTGGGTTGTTTTAAGCGTTCCCCGTTGCACAAGAACTGACAATCTCATTCCTTGTTCCCTCAAAGGGCAGGAACCTGCTCCCACCAGCTGCTGGTAACTCCCGCCTCAACTACACGGTGCTGATCGGAGACACCCCCTGCACCCTGACGGTGTCTGAGACCCAGCTCCTCTGCGAGTCCCCCAACCTCACCGGCCAGCACAAGGTCACGGTAAGTGCTGACACTGGTGCCCTTGCTTCTCGTGTCCCTCTGAACCACAGAGGTTCACGCTTTATCCCAGCCCTCTGCTGTGCTCATCCTTAGATGGGGACCAGATAGTCAGTGCATGTGCAGGAGCATCCTTCCTCCTCCCTGGACATCGCTCTCCCTAATTTGTAGGACCAAATGCTTTGTCCCCTCCCCAGCACACACAGCTGGGTGTTCCTGTGCCCTGGGTGGCCCTGCCAACAGCTTCCCTTCCCTGCTGGGTGCCAAGGCACAGGCTGTGCCAAGGCAGGGGGGGATTCCCACCCCTTCCCCTTGGCGCTGGCTCACACCCCAAGGAAGGCTCCTTTGTTAGTGGGGTTGTAGCACAGCAGTGCTCATGCTCCAGGACCCTGCCAGGTTGAAAGGGACCCAGCACGATCCCCCCCCAGGCTCCCCACTCATGGGGAACTCGCTTCACATCCCATCTGTTAACGTAATGTTGCCTGAATGAGACATCAAACTCTGCCTGTTCCACACGTGCGCTAGCAGTCTGTGTCCTGCATCCCATTAAAGCACTCCGGACCAGCTCCTGCTATCCCTGCATCCTTCCTCCCCTGGGCTGGGAGTCATCCTCCAGCTCCTGGCATAGTGGGGAGGGCTGCCCTTGTGACTCCAGGTCCGTTTTCCCCCCACCATGGTGCAGATCAAGGCTGGAGGGTTCGAGTTCTCCCCAGGAACGCTGCAGATCTACTCGGACAGCCTGCTCACCCTGCCTGCCATCATTGGGATCGGTGGAGGAGGTGGCCTGCTCCTCCTCATCATCATCATCGTCCTCATCGCATACAAGCGCAAATCCCGGGATGCCGACCGGACCCTGAAACGCCTCCAGCTGCAGATGGACAACCTGGAGTCCCGTGTGGCCCTGGAATGCAAAGAGGGTGAGGGATGCCTGTGCTGTTAATGTGGGGTCTTGGAGGGTTTCCTACCATCCCAAAGCTCAGGGTAGTCCCACACTTTTCCCACTGCCTTCCAGAGGAGGAATGGGAATCATAGAATCATTTAGGTTGGAAAAGACCTTTAAGAGTCCAACTGTTAACCCAGCACTGCCAAGTCCACCACTAAACCGTGTCCCTAAGTGCCACATCTACATGTCACTTAAATACCTCCAGGAAATGGGCAAAGCTGCTTTGTCAAAGGAAGTGAACTCTTTCTGTGTGGGATTTGGGGATTTTTCCTGTTAAGAATTTCTCCTTTACTTCCCCAAATAGGAAAAAAGAGAGCAAGGAGAGTAGTGGAGGCTGCTTGGGAGCGGGCAGTCCATCTCTCATTATGTGACAGACGGATGCTGTAAAATTGGACAGAATTCCTTGTATGATCCTGCTGATAAAACCTAATTGCCCATTATCCCCCTGAGCTGGCTCCAAAGGCCCTGACCCTGCCAGCCACAGCCACAACCAACACGGGTGCTGCTGGTGCAGCAGGCACCAAACCTGAGATAATAAAGAGAGGAAAGAAAGGAAGAAACCCCCTTTGCTTCCCCAAATCCCCATCCCTACACATGCCTGCGGATGGCACTGGTGACAGGGAGCAGGAAGGGAGCTGGTGGAGGGGATGGTGTCTTGTCTTCCACAGCTGACAGATAAAAGGATCTGCTTTTAATTAAAAGGCACAATCTCTTCCCTGCCTTTTCTCTTTTCTAGTCCCACTAGTTACAGATAAGATAGCACGCCTTTCAAGCTGACGGTTTGTTTTCTCTCATCAGGCTGATGAGCCTGCAGTCCTCTGCCTGGCTCCCAGCTCCCTTTAAAGTGCCTTTAATTTGATTTTTCTGAGGGTTTTCTCCCCCCTCACCCCCCAGCCCCTTTCCCTGGTGCATCTCCAGGACTCTTCTCCCGTCAGCTTTTCCCTGTAGGTGCAATTAAAGGTTCAGGACCCCCCCGCGTCGCATTCCTCTGGGATTCACTGCTGCCTCTGCTCGGATCCGGAGGTGCTGGGGTGGGTGTTTGCGTGCTCTTCTCTGGAGTAGTATTTAGGTCAAAAAGAAATGAGGACATTCTTGTGGTTTAGGCTAACATTTTCCCCCAGAAGCTCTGGCTTTGTTCAAGCCTTGCTGTTCCCTGCAGCCCCTTCATCCCTGGGAGGCTGGGAGTGCTGAGCAGGGGGGATTTGAGCCCCCTGGGACCTGGTGGTCCTGTTCCCAAAGCTGCCTCTTGATTTATTCCAGGGAAGTCATCCCCACCCTCTGCAGCTCTGTTCCTCCATCTGCGAGATGGGGACGGCGATCACAGCCTGCAGGGAGGAGGGATGCGGAGCCCATTCACGCCTGGGGGCCCAGCCGTGGGGTGCAGGCTGGGTGCTGATGCTGGGTGCTGGGATTCAGGATGTGTTTAATTCTGCCTTTCCCACGCCAGCCTTCGCTGAGCTGCAGACTGACATCAATGAGCTGACCAACGACCTGGACGGCGCCGGCATCCCCTTTCTGGATTACCGCACCTACGCCATGCGTGTTCTCTTCCCAGGGATAGAAGATCACCCCGTGCTGAAGGAGATGGAGGTGTGGGTCTGTCTGTCTGTCTCTGTAGTGTCTCACGCTGGGGCTGTGCCCCTGCATGAGTCCCCGTGCCCCAAGCATAGGGCTGGAGAGATGCCTTGGTTGGATGCTGGCCTGGTGCAGCAAAGAGCATCGTGCCACGTGGCAGCCAACATGAACGCGGACCGGCTGCTGACTGCTTACTGCACTCTGACATTAATATCAATATTTATATTAATATCATTGCTGCTGTCATTTTCTGCAGCACTTGCTTTATTCAATTGGGTTTGTTTGATGCCTGACCGGCTGCTCGTTTCTAACAGGCTTGTCTGACATGGCCTGCTTGCTTGGCTCCGTTTCCCCATGCAGAACCCATCCTTGGCATCCTTCCCCTGCTTCCCAAACCCACTCCCTCTCCTCTCCCGGCCTCCCCACCTCTGTTTAATTTAGTGCATGCAATTGCACACCAATTGGCTTCTTGTTTGCTGGGCTGCCGAGGCCGCTCTTGATGAGGGAAAGGAGGGGGGTGACCTCAGCTTCCCCTTGCTGCTGACCTGGCACAGTAATTAATGTCGACGGGGGCTTCACAATGTATTTAGGAGAAGTAATTGGCCCTGGTGCAAGATGCATGGTCACTAATTACAACACAACAAGCTCTTACCAACTGCAAGTGCACGTGCTGGTGGTGTACGCCAGCGTGGCTGCGGCGCGGGGCCCTGGCCCTCTGCCTCCTCTCTTGCCCTGGTCCCTAAACACAGCTCTGGAGGATGGTGGGGACCTGGTTTCCATGGATTTCCCCTTGTTTCCATGGATTTCCCCTTGCAGCTCGGGTTTCCGGATGCTCAGAGCGTGAGCGTAGCCCTCCCTGGGGCACAGTCCTTCCTGTCTGTGTGAACGCCTGGCTCTCCTCTCACCTCTGCTCTTGCTCTTCAGGATTTTCCCTAAAGAGAGAACGGTGGAAAGGGTATCACAAAGGATATCAGAGGGGGAATTTTGCATTGGCTGTGGCAGGCTGGGTGGGAGTTTGTCCACTTTCAGTTCTGAATTCAAAACGTCCCATTTGAGAGAGCATGCCAGCTCAGCCTGGCGTGGGAAACAAGGGGTTAAGGTTGCAAAGGAGGACAAAAAAAAACACCAAATCCCCAAAAGAGATTAAATAAAGCAACTACAGTTGTGTAAGCTTCATATAATTTAATCAGGTTTGCTTTTATTTGTCTCTTTGCTCAGAGTGTAACATTAGCTATTGCAAGTGACGGGAAGGAAGCAGAGCTTGCTCACACACACGCTAATCCGCAGCGAGCATCAGGCTGGTGGGACCAGCTCCTTCCTCTTTGGGGTTTGAGGGGGAGGTTTTGGTGGTTGGTGGGAGTTTAAGCCTGATTAAATATTTAATTCAGTATTGTTCATTTATTTCTGCTAATGATCAGCCAGTTAAACACAGAGAACCAGGGAGGCAACAGCCTCAGGCACTGCTGTGCTGTCTGTGATGGGTTTCATGTCCTCCCGTGCTCCTTGCCAAGGCTCCAATGGGATGGTCGCTGTTGGGCAGGACCTGTTTCCCATCCTATTGAGATCCTCCTGCTCTGTTGAAGGGAGAAGTCCTCTTATTCTATGGTCACCTTTGTGTGGTCTTGGCAGCCAAAGCATCAGCAGCGCACAGGGGTGGGATGCAGCATCTCTCCCTCTGCATCAGTTGTACTGGTGAGTCTGGTAGGTTTCCAGTGCAGCCACTGGGCTCCGGCTGGCTCTTGGGTCTTCCCATGCTGAGGAATCACTCGGCATCTCTGCATCCCTGTAGGGAGCTTGCTGGGTAACGTTGCTGAACCTCAGGCATCTGAGTTACCAGCATTATTGCATTGAGGTCCCTGCATGGTCTGGAGGGAGAGGGTCTGAGAAAACATAATTTAAAGCATTTCTGTTCCGAGCAGGACTTTATTCTCTGACCTGTAGTAAGGGAAATATTGCCACATGTTTGCTGCTGTGATGCCTGTGAGAGGAACCCTGAGGATGGGGGCAGAGAGGGTTTATCACTACCCCATCACCATATGGGGATGCTGTGGGGCAGGCGTTTGGGTGATGAGAGTGACAATGGCGCATGGGGACTCCTGTTGCAGAATTGGCAAGGACTGGGTGGGAAACAGGGTATTTGGGGGGCAAAGTTAAAACCATGAGGAATTCTGCTGAAGTGAAGAGTGTCGATCCAAAGTTTTGATTGAAGTGAAACGATTTGATGTGTCAAAATCCTGTTCTTCATTTTGATTTGGTGTTTTGAAGTGAAAAGTGTTGTTCTGTCTCCAAATACCGATGTGGAATGGAATTTTTCACTTATTCTCCCAATCAGGAAGACAAGAGGGGGGGAAATATAAAATTGATGGTTTTGCCACAGCAAAGCTTTTTTTCAGAGCAAACCATCTTTGCTAATGGGAAAACACTGTGTTGTAAAAATGTTCATTTCTGATAAGAAGTGTGGTCAGGGCTGACCAGAGCTGTGCTGACGACAGCAGCGTGGGGATGAGAACATCCCAGCCCAGTCCCTATTGGGTCCTATGTGGCCAAGTGAGGCCAGAAATACACCTTCAAACGTCTCAAGAGGACAGAGAATGTTCCAGGCTGTGTCTGGAGTGGGGCAGAGCCAGGTTTCTGCTATTTCCTTCTCTGTCTGAAATCCAGCCCCTCAAAACCAGGCGGGTTTGCTGGTGGTGGAGCCCAGGGTTGAGGTGTTGTTTGCTTTCTGTACAATACCCAGAGCACGTGTTGCAGTGCCTTGGGTGGGAATCGAGCTGCTTGTTAGCTGAAATTGAGAATTACAATCTGTGTGTGTGTCTTTGGGAGAGAAAGAGT